CCTTTGGCGAGTCTCGTTACTGTACGAAAATAAAGCAATTTTACATAGGGAGGATGATCCTCTGATGTTCAACTGACCGTGCAATGAGATTATTGTTATCATTTCACGACCAATCAATTTTATATTTTGCCCGCATCAAAATAATGTAAACTCGTGGGGCAGTGATTACTCGTCCAGACAAATTACAATCGCAAAACATATATTCGAGACATTAAATAGTAAAAGAATGATCGTACGAGACGCTACAAAATTCTATAAATTATTTTTAGTCATAACAAGTGAGAAACTCAATGGTCGAGAGAGGTTAGATATCATAATCAAAAGAATCATAGAAACTTAATTATTATAGCGTTGGATTATAAGATTATTTTTAGATATCGAAGATATAAAAATTTGATGAACTAACGTCTGTTTGACTATTGAGCTTCTCAAATAATTTCCTTTTAGTCGTCAACACTGATAAAAGCCTCTAAATATTGATTCTTAAAACGCTACGCAATCTAATGTATAGTAACTTTGCTTGTACTTTTGTCGTTTCAATAAAGTTAGGAATATAATGCGGAGGTTTGCAGTTAAAGATATGTGTAACGTCTCATTAGATCTATAATTAATAGTATATGAACAATTTTAGACTTTTGTTGCCTCGATTTTTTAATAAAAGTTTTCGAACTTGAATTATATTTTTTTGGAAATTTTTAATACTATAATATGTACTATAATACAATTAATTCAATATTGATTAAATTTCAATATTATTAATTAAAATTTTAATTATATAAGAACAAAGTTTGCTTTAATATTTGGAATTATATTTTTATATTTTTAATATTTTTTAAAATATCAAAAATTCTTTTCCAAAAAAACATAATTTACATTCGAAAACGCCTCAATCGCCAATTAGACTAATGCGTCAGTGTCATAATCTAATATAAATTTTGAACATCTTATTTACGATCTGCACATTGTAACTGCCGGAAACGAGACTACGTTCGTTTTTTGTATAGCATTGAAGGCGCGCGAACTTGGTAGAAAAACGGTAACGCTAAATTCTAAAACGTATCAAAAACCATCGTCCTTTTAAGGCTGGTTGCATGAAGGAGGCTGCATACGAGTTTGTTGAAAACGTACACAGAGCGGGGAGGAATCATGTCGCGTTATTTCTTTGGTAATACATACGACGTAATACATAGCAGTCGATTATACACACACCACCAGTTATGGTATCGTTCAAACCGCTAATAATTTCAAAGTTACACATACATATCCAAGCGTTATTGTCGAAAGTAACAAATGAGGAAAGGACACGCGCTCGCGCGTCTTTTTGCAAGCTCGAGGACACGATTATGACGCGGTCGTTCCAATTCTGCGAGAGCAAATTAAAAGACGAAGGAGGAAAATGAATAACATAAAACCCAGATGGGGATATAAAAGTGACATAAATCTAACCTATGCACGCCTTAGGCGCTTGCTTTATTAATCACACGAGGCGTATTATTTTTAATCATTAAATAAAAGTCACGCTACGATATCGATCTCGACTAAAAGTTGGATACAAATGACGATACTTTTGTCGATACGATGATTTATTCGCCTGAAGTGATAAAAAATAATGGTATTCGCCGATATAGTTATTCTCATATAAGAATAACTTACGACTGTTGTCGTTGTTGAATCATGAATAATATTACTAATCATACAAATGAAAATAATAACTAAAGAAGAGCTGAGAATAGTAACAGCAATAACTTGTAATGATAATAACGGTAGCGATAATATTATATATAATATCGATTGTGAAAATATCTAAGATTAATGTTACTCTTTTTCTTTCTTTCTGAATCTCTTCATTCATTCGCTTTTCTATCTTTCATACGTTCACTCATTTCCTTTATTCTCTGTGAAGCTCAGAGGCATACACGCGTATACAGAATCTTTATGTCTCTCGTTTGAAACTGGTATACGATGTGCGGACGAAGTAAATAAAAGATTTAAGAGGCAATACTAAAAACCAAAATATAACAAATAAAACTTGATATACAAAGATGTCGGTTGAAACTTATTTTTTAAGTTACAAGAAATATAATTTTGCACTAAATGAAGCGAAACAAAGATAGAAGATAGATTTCGCTTCATTTAAAGCAATAAGAACAATTAAATTATAAACAATTAAATTGCTCATTCTTTAATAAATAAGCCTCAATTGATATTTTTGCATATCAACTTTTATTTTTGTTTTAATGTTTAGAATCCTTTAAATTTTCCATCTATTTCGTGCGAATATCTTGTATAGTTCAGTAATATAAATCTCATTGACATTACGAGGATAGCAAAACCGTCGATGAATCAGAACTTTTCCCGTCTTCACGATCCAACGAAGATATTCCATATGTTCTCGTCTTATATATCAATTTGGTAGTAACAAACGTAATTTTAAATCACTTCTTTTCATCCGAAACATCATTTCTACATTTTTTTCATTGTTTGCTAAAATTCTAAGATCCTGAGAATCTCGTAACAATCAAACTACTCATCAACATAGGACCAAATCTGCGGAAGAATTAGCAGAAGAATAATTGGACGCTTCTACGTAAGTCCGTTATCGAAGATATTATTTATCCTAAGCATAGTTTCTCCACAGACGAGAACACCAAAATGTTGCGTACGATGAATTGTACAATGAAAACAGCGTTTGCTTGTTTCGAGAGGACGATTTAACGCGAGCTGGCCAAGCATCAGCCCCTGGAACCGTTCCTTTCGCGAACTGGCTGCGCCATCGTTCAGGATCTGTAAATCCGGATCACGTCCCTGATGGTTGCTCGACAAAGTGGGCAATGTCCGCCACCTTTGCCGCGCCACTGTTGTGTGGCGCAAGGATAGCACATACACATGTGGCCGCACATGTACAGCACACTATCGATGCTTCTTTCATAGCAAACTGAACATTCGTTGGGCTGACCAGGCGTAGGTTGGAGGCCCTCGCTCCATTGTTGCAGATGGGAAGATGCCTGAGAGATGAGAGTACCGTCGAGACTCTGGTAATTTACTGGCTCCACGTAAGTGGAGGATCCTGTACTGGCCATAGTGCCTGTCAAAGGTGGCGAGGATTGTCTGGATGATCCAGGATGCAACGTTGACGCCGTGGATGCGGTGGCAACTGTTGCTGGAAGATGAACGTGTTGATTTCTGTGTCCGGCAGAGGCATATGTAGGTTGGGGAGTAGACGAGGACGGTGTGACATAGCCTGTTTGAGGCGGAAGATTCACCACGAGCACGGTACCTCCGCCTATGGCTGGTTTAAACTGAACCATTTCTGAGAATCTGGATAGTTCTGTGGCCGCGTTACTGTGATTACAGTGTTGCTGTTGTTGTTGCTGTTGCTGCTGTTGCTGTTGCAACACTGTCGCCGGTGAAGGATTGCTTTGGCGCTGTCTAGGTGGTGATGTAGGCCTCTCGGCAAGCATCCTGACTTGTTGCGTGCTGCCGTATACATCGAAGAATGCCCACAATTGAAGACTTTGGTCCACGTGCATTACTACATTCGGTGGTCCGCCATTTTTGCTCATTTGGACCTCTCCAAAGTGAGTCACTGTGAAGGCTATTTCGTCACCGGGTTGAGGACTCGATGCGACATGTTTGGAAACTACCCAATACTCTGGACGATCCAATAAAAGATCGCTGTCGTCTGGTAGATCTTCTGGAGTGAGTCGAGCCGGATCGCAAGATGTCAAGCCTAGAGCGAGGGCGCCAACATACATCGGTTCTGTGGCTAAGATCTGAACGACCAAACGTTCGCCTAGTAGCAGTGGTTGGCTTGTAAATGCATAGCCATGGCAGAATTCCGTGTCGGTCCTTGTCGCCACGCACTGTTGATTACTAAAACGGATGTTTCTGCCTCGAGTTCTAAAAAAATGAAGAAATGAATAAAATAATTAGTAAATCATTTTATTTGTAGAATTGAAAATAAAAATATTGAAAATGTAATAATTAATATCAAAATCTAAATCAGATCATAAGTTTTAAGTTTTAAGTTTTAATTTATTTTTTCTAATTTTAATATTTAAATTCTAAAAAAAATTGTATTTTATAATTAGTCATATGTATCAAAATTTAATTTATGAAATGCAATTTTTCTAAATACGGATAATTTTTTTTAGAGTTTAAAACTTGAAATTATGATCTATGATCTATTGTAGAATTCAATTATATCAATTATTAATATTGCTTTTGTTTAAAGTTTTTAAATTTGAATCCATAAGAAATTTTATCATAGCATAACATTATAAGTAGTTTCTTTGATATTGATGTTTTTATATCACAGATTAAAAATCAATAAAAATCGTTAATTTTATAATATTAGACATAATTTTATAATATTAGACAATTAAAAAATTAAGAAAAATGTTTTAAATTAAATTGAAGATTAAAATTTCTTGGTATTTTTTGATCTTTAAATCTTTTCTATTTCTAGAAAAGTATTCCTTGATTGTATAAAATGTTAAGATCATTGAATCAGTTCACATTTAAACAATAATAAATTCATTTGAACAGTGAACGTTTATTAAATTTTTATTGAAAAAATATTAATTCAATTCATAAAGTATATATTGAATATTTTAAATATGAATGTTTTTTCATATATGATTTACTATGATTTACTATAATCTTCATTATAAATGGAATATTTTGCATAATATATAATTAATTATGTTTAAATTATTTAAAGTTTTTATCAAGTAAGTTTTTCGTTTTCTTGTGAAAGAAATTAAAAATTTAAACTTTATTGTAGGAATTAAAATACATGAAAAAGAGCTTATTAATATTCAATCATTGTAAGACCACGGAATAAGTTACATACGTGACGGAAATTGAGTTTGAAGACAAACGATACCGGAAAACGATTCTAATTGAACAGTATAGCCACGAACGAATCGATAGCATACTATGAAACCTTATGCCGATTCAATTTTAATTTTATAATTAAATTATCTGAAAACTTTAAAACGAAAACATTTTCTTAGAATAGTATTTTATTAATTTTTTATTATATTTTATTAATTAAACAATAAATTATTTTTTAAAAAATAAGTTATTAAATATTTTCAATGATATTATATGAAATAGTAAATTTTTTATTAATTTTGAAGTAATCAAAATTTTACATAAATAATTTAGAATTCTTAAAACTTAATATTATTAAAATCTATATCACATTACCTAATTTATATCATTTAATTAATATATTAATAAATAAAAATTAATAGAATATCATTCTAATTGTTCTATTGTTTTAAAAAAAGTTTCTAAATAAATTTAAATTAAGTACAATAAAATTCCATTTATCGAAATTTTCATCAATATTTAATTAAGTGAACTTTAGTTGACTTTTGTTATCTGAATTAATTTCAATCATTAATTACAATAAACATGTTCTTTATTACAAATGAAATTGAATTATAAGTTCATAAATTTAATATATTTATAGAAAAATATTTTTTATTTCATAATTTTGAATAATGAATAAATTTGTTTAAAACAAATAGTAATTAATTGGTTTATTAATATATGGTGGAATAATATATAATTCGAATTTTGCCAATAAATATTCGTCATACTTTCTTAGAAGATATATATTATTTGAACTTATTTCTTCAAGTTCAACCAATGACGTGTGTCATTGACATTTAATGTGGTTTGATTTCTATTTAAATGTATGATTGGCTCCGTGATTGGCCAATATTTTTTGTTAATAAAGTAATTCATTAAAGTCGAAACAAAAATTTTTCCAAAGGAAATGTTGCTTAAAATCTATCTCTAATTAATCTATCTCAAGATATCAATATCCTACATGTTCATTCACGAAAAAAATGGCGAAGATAAAAAGTATGGATATTATTGCCTCACTTTTTGATGTCATATTTTATATTATTTCGTGTCATACATAATTGGTTATCATCTACAATCGAATCAACTGGATAAAGAAAATAAATGAATATATCAAGTATGATTAAAACAGAATAATGATTTCAAAGGATTGATATAAATTGATTTCAGAAGCAAAGTAATTATTGACAAAATGTATCCTCTCATAGTTTACAAAAATCCTACTACTAAATCAACATATTGTGCTCATGCAGAACAAATGGAGATCCTTTGTTTCTCTTTTGCTATTTCTCTTGTTATTTTCTTATGGACGAATTTCTCATGCACTATATTGATACATGCTGAAACAATTAACGATTGGTGTCAAATTTCATTCGGTACGCTCGAAACTCGAGGTCCAATTTCCAAAAAATTGATGAGGATAGAGATGATGGTTAAGTGAACAATATATAAATAGAATTCTATTTTACAAAATATCAATAATATTATATATATAATATTGTGTTTTATTGTATTATATAATATATATACTATTACTATAAAAATATTATATAATTGTATTATATATATATATATATATTGTGTTTTATTTGATATATATTTTTCAACTTTTTCCCCTTGTATTCATTTCTCCTCAATCTTTGTTCTATCTCAAGCGCATTGCAAAAAGGGGGATCGATAAAAACCGATCATTCTAATGCTCGATCAAAAGGTGCCCTTCGAGCGATTAGAATGATCGCCCTTCGAACGATTAAAATCAGAGACAAAGAGAGATCGTCCTTAAGATACTCACGAGTGGAAGGGTAACGGCGTGAAGATGACACCGGGAGGCTGAAACCTGAGTCCAGGCAGCTCGACGTCGGGCTCGTGATGGATCGACATGCCCTGCATGGACGGAACTATAATCCTCTCGACGTCTCTGCTCGCGTTGCTCGCGTCGTCCATGGCCGAGTGCCTGCTATGCTGCGCGTTGTCCTCGTTGCTGTGCTCGGTCCCTCTTCTGATGTTATTGAAGTGTTGTCTGTTAGGATCGACGAACTCGATCGCTGTGCTATTACCGTACACGTCGATGATGGCCCATAATGGGCCCCGTGTCTCGACACCGCTGAAGAACACGCCCTTTTCCTCGCCATTTATGCCGAAGTGCACGTCCCCTGCGGACGTGACGTAATAGAAGAGCACCGTGTCCCTTTCGGCGAATCTCTCGGCCATGGCCTTAGCCCAGTAACCGGGTTTATTGGTCAGATCTGGGCAGGCGTACCTTGGAAGCCCATTTCTGAGGTTAATCGGGTCGTTGCTCGTGAAACCGAAACGGATCACGCCGCTCCAATTGTCTGAGATCTCGAGGAATTTGACGCAAACCTGGAACGAGACGTTAAATCAATTTATTAATTGAATTTCTTTTTTTTTTTT